GCGCCAGATAACAATGCACTGGTAGGAGGTGCCATATCAAAACCACTGATCCTTTTGCTGAAAAGAAACATCATTAGTACCAACAGAAAAGTGATAAAAAAAATTTGAGAATGAATTATCATTTTTTTAGAATTAAGTGATAAAATGGTTGAAAATGTAACTTTCTATGATCTGTATAGATGTTAGCCACTGACAGAAAAATCACAACAACAACATACCCAGTGCAATCCCACAAGTGAGGTCTAGGGAGGGTAGGTAGAATGTAAGCAGGCTTTACCCCAGAGAATTCAAAAGCAAAAAAAATAAAGAAAAAGAACAAACAGTCAAAATCCAATAGGTTCCAGTAATTAGAGAGTCAAAGTCATCATAGTAGCTTTATGATTTTGCAAGAACAAATACTTTTGTAAGCAAACATGGCAACATCAGCTTCACCAGCACATATGGCCAAATAACAAAGTCTTCACCTAATGTTTTAGTCCAATTCTATCTATAGTTCTAACTTCTAACATATCGACACTTATGATTTCTTTCCAATTTGACAGATCAAAGAGTCCAATGACCAGTCTTGCAAACATCACAGCAAATTGCAATTTGCTTCACTCAAAGTTCAAAAGACAGAAACCAGTCTTACAGAGCATTAGGACTTCAAAATAATCAATAGAACGTATCTTGAAAATGCTCCTACAAGAAGATATAGGAGTAAGACACAAACCTCTTAGATGGCGACCGTGATCTAGATCTTGATCTATGCTCGGATCTACCCCTAGAGCTAGGCTTGTGTCTCTGTCGGTCCTCTCTATCTTTGTCATTGTCTCTTCTCCTGAAAGGATAAATAAACAATCATATCCAAAAACATAAGAAAGATAAGAAATTGGTTAAGACTATTAAATCAGCAAGCACCAAACACATGAATCTCATATGAAGCTCACACTAAAGCATGTAGAGCATAGAGAACAGTGACAAAGAAAAAAAATAGCATTTTAAATTAAATCAAACATGATTCTCAAAATGAATACCACAATTAAGTATTACCATCATAAATGAGTAACTGAAAAGAGGTACAGAACATAAATCCAACTAACTTTTAAAACTGCATTTGAACCTACCTATCGGAATCTCGAGTTCGCTGAAGATCATCTTCATCTCGATCTCTGGTCCTCTCCCTCCTATCACTCCGATCCCTATGACGATCTCTGTGATGACGATCACGGTCCTTCTCCCTCTCTCTGTCCCTATCCATATCTTTGTCCCTTTCCTTAACTCTGTCCCTGTCTCTATCTCTATTCCTATCCCTGTCTTTATCACGCCCTTTCTCCCTCTCCTTTTCCCTGCTTCTTGATGAGCCCCTTTCTTTTCCGGGGTCACGAGAAGTATGCTGGAAAATGATGATAAAAATGTTAGTCCATGAAGAGAACAACAAAACTTAAATATATAAACAAAATCTAAGGATGGAAAACCATACAGCAGAAGCCATAATAATCTAAAGCTAAGGAAATTAAAAACAAAGAGCAACACAAATCGGGGAAAAGAAGTTCATATCATAAAAGCATTGTTTTGGCTACATTCACAGGTTAGAGATCAGAACTGCTGTCCACCAGGAGCAAACCAGCTCCTCTCTGGATCCTATCAGAGGCCAACCTTAGGCAATACTCCTCAACCCCACCACCACCAAATACAGCCTGCATCTTTTATGTAATCTGCTCTATTCCATAATTTCTAACACTGTAATTTGAATTCAAAAAATAATTGTCCCATTTTACACCAAGTAGATGTTTTGATGCTTCTATTCCAAACCCCATCACTCTTTCTAGCGGAAGAAGTAGTCGAATAAATGCCCTTAAGTAACACTCCATAAACCATAACTAAACACAGACAGAGATATACCCAGCAATCGCATCCCATCAAGCAATTCATATAGAACTTTCTGAGTCATCGAACATAAAACAATCAAAGGAAGATAAGTATCCCTAATTAAAGCAAACATCTATGTGTGTTACTTCATCACCATTATAAGTTCAAATCCAATTTTAAAAAAAAACTTTCAATTCACCCAATAAGGAAAAGACAAAAACGTTACCTGAGACTTGGAGTCACTGTAAGGAGAAGAACCATTATTCTCTATATCTTCTCCGTTACCTTCATATTCCTGCATCGTTCCACTACGTTACTCTAATTTATCTCTTCTTCTCCTTGAGAGAGAGGAGTACAAAACTAGGGCTAGAAAAGGGTTTCGCCGTTCTGTAATTGGGAATTGCAGTCCAATTGCGATTTCTTTTTATGTTTTCTTTTCTAATTAATTAAATAAAGGGTACAACCGTAAACTCCCAGCTGCGTTTTCAATTCCTTCGTTTTATCCGACATGGATAGCAAAATCAAATACAACCAACTAATTAATCCTAACATATATAGCTAAACTAAAATATTGACTTATGAAAAAAATTGTTTTAAAATAATATTTTATTATTTAATATGTTATATATAACTATAATATAAAAAACATATATATTTTTTATTTTATATATATATATATATATATATATATTTTTAATTTTTTATTTTATTTTATTTTATTTTTTTTAACAAAAAAGTAAATTAACCAATTAAGAATAGTAAAAATTGAACGAATTAGGTTATGACTTGCATTTTAATCCATTTCATTAATGTTTACCTAGTAAACTTTTGGGTTAATGCATTGTCAATCCCTTAAACTTGTTGATATTTTTCATTTAAAAACTTATATTAAATCTTGTTCTAAACACATCAACTCCTAATAAAATATTTCAAGCTAGACATTTTCAATTCAATTTTTTAAGTAAAAAAATGTGTACTTTCATTTGTCGATAGGATAGTTAAGTTACCACAAAAAATATCATCTCTTTTAACTAACTACACACATCAACCTCAAATAAAAAAATGATAGAAATTCGACAACTTAGTGAATCAAATACGTATATAATAAAACAATGGCATGTTTTATATTGTTAACTTATAGTTTTCCTGATGGTACAGAGATGCTGAATGACTTTCTTTTGCAAGTAAAGAGAAGCAACAATTCATACATTTTAACAGAGACATTGAAAAGAAACATCTGACTATATTTTCGCTCATCAAAAAGAATGAATTGAATGAGAAAAGAATGAGCAAAAACATCTGCTGTCCATTTTCTTCTGATAAAGTGATATGTAACTAAATTTTCTCCCAGATTTGCAATGCAAGGCGAAGCGTTTCAACAGCTCAACCATATACTCGAGACTCCGTGTTAACCCCAAAACTGAACAATTATGCCTCTCAAGAGTAAAGTGAAACTTCAAGAAAAGCCAACTTCTCCTCAGCATTGAGAATTTCTGCAACTAGCAGTGAACTTTCCATGACCTGTACAACTTAATCAAAAATAGCAGACTACTATTGTGGATTGCCGTCACTGCTTCCCAAAACCCATGCTGAATTTTCTGAACGACATAGTTCCTTCATAACCTGCACAAGCATAGAAAAATATTTAGGATTCAGGTCGTCAAAAATGATTTTCTATATTATTCCATCGGGAATTAGACAAAAGAAATGAAGCTTCGGCACGAATTTTAGAAAATTCACTGCAATATGACGGACCGCCAACATTTCACAATACAAAGTTCCAGGCAACTTGAAAGATTCTAGACCACAATAATGCAGTATAGAGTCAAGATGACATGGAAGTTTGGAACTGTTACATTTTATATTCTATCGGATAAGAGGATCGGAAACAGGATACTACAAACATCTATCGGATACATCTGCTTGTGCTGGTAAATAGATCAACTTCATATAATAGTGCATGTATGTCCAAGCTATTTAAATCCCAATAACTTTCCCAGGCCAAGCCGCCTGTCAGCACATGAGCAGGATCATGACAGTGTTGCTTAGACCCAATTTACATAAAAGAAACGCAAAATAAGGAGAACCCTGACAGGAGCCCAGGAGAAAAAACAAAGCCTGAGGTAGAAACATCACCACACCATATAAAAGAGGATAAGAAATGGATCCTGTCAAATGCTAGTGTTAGCTTTGCAGTTTTTGTTTCTTTTGCACTAATATCTCTCAACTCATTTGGCATATTCGGGCAGTATTGCCAACTTTTATCTTACTCCAGAAAATGTCTTTAATCATCCCTCAACATTCAAACAGGACTAAGGCATGAAATAATAAAATCCCAATCTAAAGGTCAGAAACATCTGCGATGTTCCAATATTAAACTTAACAAAATTCAAATTTCTGAAATCGATTCTATAACAGGTTTATAGTGTTTTACCCAAAAGTAGGAACATGTATGTTTAAAATCAGGGGAGGTATGAGAGCCAGCTTGGGAAAGAGAAGAGGATTGTTACTTGTCTAGCCATTGTTTTATGAGACCTACTGGGAAACAATTTTCTCCACTCACTCCTCAATAAAAAGCTGATTGGAGACCCTCTCTTTCTCTTCTTTGCACATACTAAACAGATAGGTGATTACACTTCCATTTCCTTTTTTTTATATTGTTCTCTCTTGCCTCTTAATTATCAGAATGTGCAAAATCACCACTGCTACAAGTCATGGAAATATGAGGGGTCAATGGAACTAGGAGGGGGCAGAGAAGAGATTAAAACCTTCTGCATTCCACCTCAACTTGGTCTTCAAAATTATTATTTTTTAAAAAAGGAGGTCCGATCGGCTTGATTTTGTGACAAATGAGCAGTTTGCATAAAACGGTGCAGAGGATCATTCCCTATTCTAGGATTAGGTTGATAGCTAAAACAAAGAGCAGTTCCACGAAAAAAAATATCATGTATAGTTTTCTCTACATGATTAGCTTGCTCTCTGGTGACTTTTCACATTTGTCGTAATCAATTTTTTTTGTTACCTGCTCGATCGGTTTTTTATATTTTTTTGACACCTTATTTCATATTATGATATCAAATCATGATTTCATATTGCATGATCAAACGACCCCCTTAGCTTGCTGCTCTCTTACAACATCATTGATCTATTTAAGCCTGTTTCTTCATAGCAGGCCTGTTTCTTCCTCCATGCATAATATCATTGATCTGTTTCCCCATGGACTCCCAGATAGCTTGCTGCTCTCTTACAACATTACCATAAAGGTCTTCAAATTTCTTGTCAGGAAGCTCTTTGAGCTTCCAATCATCCAGGTCAGGCCTCTCAACAGCTAATGATTTTAGAACTGGTGTTGCAGCTTTAAGGAATTCAGGCCTCCTGCCAAACACTGACTTCTTAATTAGGGTATTCTTGGTAAACTCATAAAGAACAAAATTCCTCGCTAAAACTTCAACTCCATTGTTTGTGTCATAGACTAATGAACTTTTTGGAACCCACAATCCTTGAACTAATTGTGCGCAACTTTTGAGGACTTCCAAGATCTCATCAATAGGATTATCTGGCGCTAGGTGCTTTAGAGCATCAAAACGATGAATGGGAGGTCCCTGTTGTGAAAAGAATTCATATTTAGAAATGTGCTGCCGTAATGAGTTATAAGCACCATGGGGCCATCTAAACAAACTTTGTTGCAGCCTTGCAGGAATAGAAATATAAAAGCAACGCAAAATCCAAATAGTAGGGTACAAACCTGAAGAAGCCAAGTTCTAACACGTTCTTCAAAAGGTTTCTGAGACAGCCTGAAAACCATCCATTAGGCAACTTACAAGTTAGGAGCATATAATGACTGGGAAAGAATGTTAATTTAAGATAGTTGAGAAACATGGCATATCAAGAACGGCTATCTATTCCACGTGGCTGGGATACTGAATGGAAGAAACAGCAAACTTCTGGCTAGAGAAAGAAAATAAGCAATTCAAGTCATAGGCTGCATATTTATATTTAACTATATCAGCACACCTACAATGAATATAAGTCACACCAGTCAATAATAATTAATTCTAAGGATCAACTTTAACAACTGATAGCTATTTTTTTTTTTTGATGACAAGGGAAACCCGCAGCCGCTACCCTTTGGGTGCGCACAGGGTAAAACCCCCGCTCCTATGCAATAGCTCGCAAACCACATAGGAGAGGTAACCCACACTAGGCAAGCCCGGTGTGACGAGCTTGACCCAGAAGGCAAACCCCTTGCTTTCGCTGGCAAGGAGTTTCGAACTTGAGACCTCCAACATGAAAGTCCCAAGCCCAAACCACTGGGCCACCCCGAAGGGTACTGATAGCTATTAAGGACAAGGTTCTTTTTAAATGAAAAGAAATCAATTTGATAGATGACAAAGGTAGAACACCAAGGATAAGATGACCATTGAGGTGCAAGTTTGGCCAAGTAACATGATGAAAATGTATCCAAGAGCATATCCTGGAACAACAGTCCACTCCTGTCCTTGGCCTCATGAAGTGATGAAAAAAAGAAATGGAAATAAGATTTATCACATAAAACTGCCCCGAAGATTTTTGTAGATCTGCCAATTACTCCAAAACTAGAAAGAAGCAAGACCATGTTTTCTTATTTATTTCATTGCTAGAACATCAAGAATAAAAACCACTTTCTGGAAGATTAGGTTCTCTAGCAAAAACAAAGCATAATGTATCCTTGCATTTCATACTGCTCATATTTATTACAATGACAAACCAAGAAAGCAACAAAGCTTTTAAGCCTTAAACCTACTCTCCCTCTCCCCCACACCCACCTACCACCACAATGCCAAAATTAACTCCGGAACACATTTTTTTATAAACCAGGGACAACAATGCTTCCTGCATATACTATAGAATATATGTTGGAGTGAGTGAACACCTCATCTAAAAGTTTAGGCCGTTTAACAAAGCATACTCTTATTTATTTAATCATGCTTACAACACACCCCTAACGTGCAGGTCTTATTATTTTCCATGGGTCAAGCACGTGAATTTTATTTTCATAGTGGTGGTTGTGAAACTCAAAGTCAGGACATCTGTCTGCTTTGATTTGTCCATATAGTTGTTTGTGTTTATAGTTATTTTATCTTTACAAGTAAAACTTTTTTAAAATTTTACTGTCTTGATTCAATTTTCTTCAGTAAAATGCACGCTTTAATTTTGCCTCGCAATTCAAGTCTTGAGTTCTCTCCTTTTACTGCTTAGCCTACCACTTCATGGTGTTAGTATCAAAATCTTCATAGCCCCAGTAGACTAGAGATTTTTTGTCCCGCTTTTGACTTCACACATCGCCAAAGATTAGCTAAACCTCCCAATGCTGCATTCTTAGAAATCCCCTCCACAAATTTTTGTTGAACTTGATCTGTTAGTGAAATTCTCCTTTCTACCCTGAGTCCAAGCCAGCAGAAGCATTCCTGTCATGGTGGATCTAGAGGGTTCACCGAAACCCCCTCGGCTAAAAATTGACACCATTTAGGTATTTTAAAATTTTTATGTATGTATATAGATTTTGAACCTCCTAAATATAAGATGGAGGTTGGCTTAGTGGTTGAGGGGGTTCAAAATTCACCTTGAGGTTCCAAGTTCAAATCTCAAGTACTACATTTTTATTTTTTGAACCCCTGTAGTGAAAAATCTGGATCCGCCACTAGAGAGATTTTTCCCCATCTTAGAAAAAAGTTCTCCTTTCATTTTGATCTACAACTTTAGTCAATCAGAATTACATTCATCGACGTTGCGACTAGGCTTAAGCTACTATGTGAATCTAATCTCTGACATTGTAGGAAATTACCAGTCCATCAACCAAAGACAAGTCAATTGCTAACTAAAAACTAGATTATGAACAAGTAATTAAAGATCATCAAAATCTCTACTCAACATTGTACAGAAAGCAAAAAGAGATTAAATAAATAAAATGAAAGGGGGAGATAAGGAAATAGTTACAGTAACATGCAATTTCTTTGAAAAAGAAGATGATAATTTGCAGTTAGTGGAATGGTCCAACAATACAAGAGGATGATAACGCCACATAGCAAAGAAGAAGACAGCTATACCCTTCAGGGTGGCTCAGTGGTTTGGGCTTGGGACTTCCATGTTGGAGGTCTCAAGTTCGAAACCCCTTGCCAGCGAAAGCAAGGGTTTGGTCGAGCTCGTCGCACCGGGCTTGCCTAGTGTGGGTTACCTCTACTATGTTGTTTGCGGGCTATTGCATAGGAGCGGGGGTTTTACCCTATGCGCACCCAAAGGGTAGCGGCTGCGGGTTTCCCTTGTCCTCAAAAAAAAGAAAAAAAAAAAGAAGAAGACAGCTCTATGATCATAGATGTACATAAAATTTTCTTTTTGTCCTTAGCAGCACCTCCAGACCTTTCAATATCAAAACAATAGATGTGAAGGACCAACTAAAGTGTCTGCAGTACCTTGTTCTAAGATTTCTTAATCTGTCAATGTCAGTTGGCCTTGCAGGACAAATGGCGTTCAGATAATCACCCCTGTGTATCAAATTTGCACGAAAAAAACTGGTATTAGAATAAAAATGAGAGTAGATGTGCAATTTGGATTCTGAAAGTGTTAAGACATCTTTTTTTGTATCGTTCTGTAGCATATGATATTTGGAGCATGTTCTTTTCTATTCTTGGACTAGCCTGGGTCAATTAGAGTAGAAGGTTAGCAAATATTATTCATGTATTTTAGTATTTTTATTACTATCATTAGCCTCGATTATTGTATTATCTTGCTGTTGTTTTGGCTTCTTTTACATATTTCTTAGAGCAAAGGGCCTATCGAAAACAGTCTATATTCTCAAGGTATGGGTGTAAGGTTTGCGTACACACTACCCTCCACAGACACCACTTGTGGGATTACACTGGATTTGTTGTTGTTGTTGTTGACTAACCTGGGTCAAGCCTAACAGCATCAAGAAGCATATGAAAGCTGGTGTTTAGGAAACAGTGCCTGCTGCTGTTTTTTGGTACATCGGGAATGAAAGGAATCATAGATGTTTTGATGAGATTTCAACTCCTACTCATGAACTCAAAGAAAAATGCTTACTGAATTTGTTTAGTTGGCTCAATCAGGCCCCTGTAACTAGTTGTATTCAATTTTTGGTCTACACTGGGTATGTTGTTGTTGTTCTCTACTCCTTAGTGATAGAATAGTGTTTTAGTGTGTCTATGAGCAGGCACTATCTCTGTGGGATAACACTGGGTATGTAGTGGTATGAGGCTATGAGCAGGCACTATCTCCCTCTCTTGTAATTTTCTGCTTGCATCTTCTGGATGCTTTTTAGTGAATTACCCTTAGTTCATCAAAAAGAATGAGAGTAGATAAATGTATGCTCTGAGGCAGGAAATGTGTCTTTTAATTGTCCTCAACATAAGCAGTTTGCAAAAAATATATATCGCTCAAGCGAAGAAAAATCAACCATATTAGCAGATACATACGGGATCATTGAAAATGGTACTGGGGAGCCTCCCTCTATGGCCATTTTCTGAAGATGTCTGGCTGAAATGTCACTCCTAGTCCCATGGTATTTTAGATGTAACCAATGCTAAAACAGGAAATGAAATAGATATCAATAACTTCAGAAGGATCTGCATTAATGAAACTGTTTGAAATGATATTGGCAACTGCATGGAGAAAGTTAACTGCTCTTGAGTAAATATAAATAGAAAACACTTGCAACAGAAACGTCAAATCCAAAATAGTAGATGAAAAATCGGCAGCCACTCAAGCTAATGAACAATATGAAGAGTTATTAGCTAATACTGAAGCGGAAATTTTGAGGTGTTCATACCTCTCCAACATCCTTGTAGTTCCCAGGAGGTTTGTTCTGCACAAATGGTGCATGTTTCAAGAATACATCAAAGAAACGGTAAAGCACTTATACGAAAAGTTTGAACAGCATCAGGGGAGGGATAGCCTCCTAGTTGCAAGAGATCATTCACCTCCAACAATAAGGTTAGGGTTGACTCAGGTCACCAAGTGAGGCAAAGTGGAAAGGCAGATACTGGGCTCCCGAGTCCTGGGTAAGGGTGTGAAGTTCACCATAGTAGAAAAGAAGTCTTGGAAATAGCAGAAAGTGCTTAACCATAAAAGACTAATCTTCTTTTTTTTTTTGAGAAGGTAACATTGTGTATATTCATAGAAGACTAATCTTTAGGCATTCCCTTTATCAATATTTATCCAAAATTGTGGCAAAGCTAGTAAATCAGGAACCGAGAAGTCCTTGACATACTACAACTACATACCCCAGTGTAATCCCACAAGTGGGGTTTGGGGACGGGTAAGAACTAAGATGTACACAGACCTAACCCCTACCTTTATGGGTAGAGAGGTCGTTCCCGATAGACCCTCGGCTCAAAAAGTGAAGTTAATCGGAGAAGGGGAAAAGCCTTGACATATGATATTTTAAGTGCTAGTAAGCTGAGCTTAGGAGCTGGCATCAAATAGCAAATCATGAATGAACCTGCTTCTTTGATGGACCCACAGGCTTTTTCTCCTTGACGTCTTCGTTTTCACAACTTTTTTCATCATTGCTGGTGGTAAGGTTCTTCAACTCACTTTCCTTACGATGCTGCAGTGATGGTCGGAGCTGTACAACTGCATGAACAGGATTGAGGTGTAACTGCATAACAAACAGGAAGCAAGAGTGTGACTATTGAGAACATTAATAAGCTTTGATACTTATTTTGTTAATATTTTTTGAGAAGGTAACATTTGTGTATATTGACAAGAACAGTACATAGGTTGTACTGAAAAGTGAAAAGCATATTTACAGTATATTTTTTCTTTTGACTGCAGCAATGAGCTTCAAATAGTTTTCAGCAAACTTAGAGATTTTAGTTGAAGTTTCTCATACCAATGTACATAAGAAACAGAAGAATATAACTAGAAGGACTTAACAATTTTTTAATACTAAGTGGCAGAACTTGGGCTAAATAAGAGAGCCAGAGTTATTATAACAGTTTCCAACTCCATAGGTAACGGTTGAGTTAGATTTGACAGCAGACAGCGAATAATTTGCTTCAACTTGAAGCTCATAAAAAATTGACTTGATTACATTTGAGGTTGAGAGAGTAGCCGCCGACATTGTTCTAGTCCAAATTAGTTTTTTTTATAATAGAAAAAAGGACAAAAGCGGAACACACATAAGCACATACGAAACCTGTGGAAGACTAACTTTTAGTCAATCAGAACTCCACGAGACCAGAAGTTAAATATGCATTTAAGCCATCAACAACAAATAATTTACCTTATCACCAATGAGGATCCCAACAGCAAAGTCAGCACAAGTAGATAATGGCACCCATTTTGTAGAAACAATCTGGAAACTCGGAACCAATCAGATTCTGGGTCAAACAATTAGAACTGTAATTCCTGCTAAGGGAACAAATATCAAGTGCAGAGTTTCCAGAATCTAAATGTCAAAGTTCTCAAAATAAAACCTCCTTATCCTACACCTAACAACAAAGTTACAACCATGAAGTTAGGCGAATGCATGTTGAACGCGACACCACTTGATTGAAAAGAAGTGGATATATTAAGCAAAAATGATATAACTTAACAAAGTGTATTCTTGTTCCAGCACCTCATTTGCTTTGTAAAGGGTGTAGGATCGACTCTTGCTCTAAACATTTCTTTTGCAACTTTTCAAGCCTCTTTTGTTAAGAAAATTGAGGCTTAAAGAAAACGAAATTGAAACTCGACTCCTCCTAAATTCAGTGTTGTGAAAGGTGATCGCCTTGTCGCAATGGAAAGAGGCGACCCTTCATCGCCTTTTAGCTTTGTAGCGAGGTGATCTTCAAAAGGTGATGCCATGGCGAGAAAGGCATCGCCTTTTGTATTTTCTTTTAAAAGGCGGCCAATTTAGGGTTTAAATAAAAGTTAAAAGATAATTTTAGGGTTTTCGACTAGACTCCTTGAGCGACCAGCCAACCAATACATATTTCTTCTTTTCTTCTTCAATTTTCTTCTTCCTCTGTTTCTTTATCCTTCTTCTTCAAACTTCAGAGTCACTTCTACCCTAAGTTGCTCGGACTGTCCAAAAATGATGCTGCACCCGTGTCGGATCCTTCAAAAATACACTATTTTTGGAGGATCCGACATGCACCCGTCGACATTTTGAAAGAGTCCGAGAAACATAGCTTCTACCTCTATTTTTTTACTCATTGTTTTGACTTTCGTTCTGTTTTTTTCTTATTCAAGTTCAAGACTTTTAGTATGTCCTATCTATTTCCAGTTTTTGAATTGAAATATTTGCTAATATATTAATGCTATTGAGATTTTGATTATTTATATATGCAATTAAATATTTTAATTTTTTAGTATTAATTGGGTCGCACTTCAAAAAGGCAAGTGCCACACCACTCGCCTCGCCTTGTGGTGAAGGCATACCTTTGTCACCTTGCAGACCCTTGTCGCCTTTTATCGCCTTTCACTGTCCAAACACTGCTCCTAATATTAGATTCTAACTTTGACAGGGTCCCTCTTTATTAATCAAAAACAAATATAATATAAGGTTATGCTAAAGATAGGAATCGAACCAGGGTAATCAATCAGAAAAACAAAACTTAAGCGCAGACTCGGTCCGTGTCCTGGATCACTTTTGTGTATCAGGGAGAACAATCAAATATATACTCGATTCTTAAGGTATATATGTCGACTAAAAAGAAACTGAGTTCAACATGATCCCATGACCCCCCTCCCTACGTTCCACATGGGTCTGCCTTTGTTTGTATACACACGTCTATTAAGGGAAAGGAGTAAGCCCAAAACAGATGGTATTACAAATGGAATTTAAGGTGGAGAAATGGAGAGAAATGTAATACTCCCTCCATTTTAATTTGTTTGTCTAGTTTTGACTTGGCACAGAGTTTAAGAAATAAAGAGTTTTGAATCTTGTAGTCTTAAACTAAGAATATGTAGAAGGTACTAAAATGTCCTTTAATTTTGTGGTTTTAAACATGCTAAATTAAAGAGTTGCCAAACAAAAGGAAAGAGACATTCTTTTTTAATCTATAATTCTGCTACAACATTAATTTCTTATTGTATAAGATGCTATATATGTTAACCTGGACTAAATGGTTCAAAGCATTTATAACTCCCAAGAGGTCCACGGTTGGAACTTTGAACTGGATAAAGTATCTTTTTGAGTATGTATATATGATGAGGCGAAAATATTTGAAAAGAAAAGCTGAAGGCTGCAGGGTATAAAACTAGGAAACTCAAGTTCGCAACAGTAGCGCCAGACCAAGTGAGCTGCAATGCTTTTAGTATGGATTTTTCCGACTAAGTAAATCAGCCCCTGCCAACAAATGTACCGGGTAACTACTGCACAAGGCTTAAAAATAAAAAGAAATCACCTAGTTCCTTTTTTTTGTCTTTGTTGCTGATTTAAGAAGAGGAAAAACATTAAGTCTAGCTCCCATATATCTAAAAGAACCTGCTTTTTTATCGTTGCTGCATGTACAGAGTCTCTGTCGAAATTCTTAGAATCAAAATCTATTGCCAAATCAACTTCCATTTCTGCCGTTGAAGGTCTCAACCTCACCTGCAAAATGATAAAAAAAAAAATTGATTTCAGACATCCAAACTGATCATTTAAAACCAGCCAATCCATTCCTGCCTTTAGTATAATCACATAACAATGACCAATTTGTTCAAAGGAAAACTTTAAAAGCAGTTGTAACTCACGTCTTGGCATTTTTCATCCAATCCATAGGGACGCCATTCGGATCTCAACGGATATTGGAGTACATAGAACTGAAAAAGAAAAGAAAATATACTTCACAAATAGAAAAATTTGCAAATTCAACAAATAAGCAACCGTATATTGAATCATGAAAATTTACCTCATTGGCGGAAGGGGTAAGCCACACGTCAACTTCACGGACAACTTCATCTCGATCGCTATCAGTTTCCATTGTGACTTGTTCTTCTGCAAGGTCGTTTCCCGTCGTCTCTCCATTCAATGGAACGTCGTCCTCAACCGTTGCCTCTCCGTTTTTCGCTATATGATCTCTTAGAGGGGGTTGTGATACCAATTCTTCCTTTTTAGTCGAAATATCTGAATCTACCTTCAATGGCAGTGTTTCACTTTTGGGTTGGGGCTTCAATTTGGAATTCTTGGGAACAAAACGAGCTTGCCTGCTCGGGACTTTACTTGGACCGTCGAAGTCCAAATCCATCTCTGCAATTTTTTGGATGGAAAAGTGAAACTTCAACTCCAAGTAATAATGGTGGAGGAAGGGTTTAGGGTTTATTAGTTGGAGCTGATGATTTAAGAGCTTTGGGGGTCTGATTAAAGAAGAGCTCAATAATAAAATAAAAAAAGGTTAAAAGAACTAGGGAAAAAGGACAAATATACCCCCGAACTTTCGTAAATGGTATCTAAATACCCCTCGTTATACTTTTAGAACGTTGATGCCCCTACCGTCTAATTTTTGGACCGTGTATACCCTTTGGACTAACGGAGGGACACGTGTCACGATCTTAACAACCTATCCAAAACGTATTTAATTTTTATTTTCAATTAAAAAATTGACCCGGATAATTAAAAACCCACCCAAGTAATTTAAGACCCGCTCCGAAATTATAACCAAGTTATCAAGAGAAGGAGATCAAGAACTAATCATAAAGTAAAATTCAAAGTTTTCTAAAGCCGTGTTAGCATTAAATTCCTTGGAAATGGAAATTCATGAAGGAAAGCTGAGTAATCCTTGAATTGCCAATCAAACTAGGAAGCTTCGGTCTGGTACGAATACCAGTACCAATTGTCGCTTGAAAAATGCCGGAAGTGTTCCAAAAGGTCATAGCAGTATGTGATGCTTTCCCTGAGGCTGCTGAATGTATTGTTGATTTTTGATTTTCACAGATCTATTTTCTTGGTTTTCAACCCTACAATCTTTATTTTTCAAAATTTCAGCATCGAAAAAAGTTATTGAGTTTTGTTTTGTGATTATAAATCCATTCAAAGGTCGCTGGTTTGATTCGTTGGAGTTTGCTAGTTCGATTCGCCGGAGTTTGCTGGTTCGATTCACCGGAGGTCGCTGGTTTGATTCGCCGGAATTGTTGGAGCAGCAGTGAGGGAGAGATGGGTGAGTGGTGGTCAGGTTTCATGGTGGATGAAGGGTCGCTACCTCACTGATTTCGCTGGAGTGTCTCTAGAGCAAGGGAGGTTGAGTTTAATAGCAATTAGAGGTGGTTTTGTATATGGAGCTTCGCCGGAGAAGATGGAGTTGCAACAGTGGTGTTGGGTATCTGTTCTTGGGGTGTATGGTTATTGGAACTAGAAAAAAAAATGAGAAAATGGGATTTATTTGGGTGGGTTTTTAATTATTCGGGTTGGATTATTTAATTGGAAATAAAAATTAAATAAATTTTTGATAGGTTATTAAGATCATGACACGTGTCCCTCCGTTAGTCCAAAGGGTATACACGCTCCAAAAATTAGACGGTAGGGGCATCAACGTTCTAAAAGTATAACGAGAGATATTTAGATACCATTTACAAAAGTTCGGGGGTATATTTGTCCTTTTTCTAGTATAAGAAAAATTAAATAAGGGACATGATTATAACATCATTACCCACAAGGAAAATTAAAATAATGAAGTAAAATCAGAATTGTAAGGATTGAGTTAAATATTTGGTCGGATTTAGGATGAGTTGAGTCTAAATAATTATAATTTTTTAAATGTTTCTTTTCTAAAAATTTGTAATTGTTTCATCATTATTAAAATTATATTTGTATGTTATAACTATAGTTTGCATTATTGCGCTCCATAGCAAAATTTATGTTTGCTATGGAGCTTTTGATTTGTATAATTCGCTACAAACATCCAATTTTGTACAAATTGCTCTGTTTTGTATAAATTCAGTTATACATTGTAATTTGTATTATAAGATTTGTATTTGTATAATTATAAGTGTATAGGATGAAAATATATGTATTTATATTTGTACATACAATTTTCTCTCGCTTTATACAAACAAAAATGCATTTTATACCGAAATGTATAAAATGACTAATTGTATACTGAAAATGGTTAATTGTATATCGAATCAGATGACAAAAAAAAAAGATGTTTGTTGCGAATTACAATAAAATAAACTATGACTGTAACATTTAATTTGAATTAATAGTTTGTTATTTCATAGTACAATTTTTCCTTAAATAAATAACATAAATTATATTTTTGATTGAAGAGACCATGAAAACTAATTAGGCAAAATCAAATGACTATGAAAACTAACTATTTTAAAAGACAAAATAAAATTGTGATTGTTGTGGTCAATTACTCTTTAAGTTATAAACATTCAATTTCCATTGGGTGCTCGGAGGTGAAGGAATAAGAAGAGGATGGGATGGAAGCGATGGAGGAGGCGAGGAAGAGGTGATTTTTTATATAAGTAAGAAAATCTTGGAAATTTTTAAAATGTGTAGTCGTTTCTCTTATTTCAACTAAACATTAACCGTTCTTCTTATTTAAAATATTGATACATTTTTGCTGGTTTTCTAACATTTGTTAGTTGTTTAGCATTTATTTTAAACTTTTTTAAAATTTGTGTTGTCATGAGTAAGATAAAAAAGATGTCACAATATATTCAACATATAAAGTACATTCGGCTATAAACCAAAAGTAAAACATTATTAGAAATTAAATTTTTGAGAAAGTAACGTATCTAATTTAAGAGTTTAGATTGTCTTTTGACTTATAAATTATCAAGTTTGATTTATTTTTATTATTTTTGTTTAAAATCAAATACTTTTTCAATTTATCTAAACATTTTTAAAATGCTTTAAAATTATTATGACTTAAATACAATTAAAACAAAGATCGGCTAACAAAGAAAGACATGATTTTGGTAATTTTCCCAATGAACTTGTATTGACCACTTTAACTGTCAAAGTGAAAGCCTTCGAACGCCTCCTTAAACCCTACTCCATTTCAACCTAAAACCCTAGGAGAAATGTCTTCTTCCATCGCTTTGCGCCAGGCACGCCACCTCACAACCACCGCCGCTGCCGTTGTCGCCGCCTCTTCAACTTCCACCATCTCTATCTCCAAAGCAAAATCAAAGCTCAAAGCCGAGCACGACCCTGATAAAGCGTTAGAGATTTACTCCTCCGTTTCTGATCGTTACGTTTCCCCTCTGTCCTCCCGCTATGCACAAGAATTCACAGTCAAGCGCCTCGCTAAGTCAAACCGTTTCTCCGACATCGAAAATTTCCTCGAATCTCACAAGAATAGCCCCAAAATTACCCAAGAGCCTTTTCTTTCATCCATAATCCGTTCATATGGAGTCGCCGGCATGTTTGATCACGCACTCAAAATTTATCATCAGATGGATGATTTAGGCACCCCCAGATCAGCTATTTCCTTCAATGTGCTTTTATCAGCTTGTGTGCGCTCAAAACTATATGATCGTGTCCCCCAGCTGTTTGATGAAATTCCAGTGAAGTATGGATTTTTACCTGATAAAGTGTCGTACGGTATACTGATTAGGTCATATTGTGAAATGGGGTCGCCGGAAATGGCAATGGAAAGACTCAAGGAGATGGAGGAGAAAGGTGTGGAGATCACAACTGTTACTTTCACTACTATACTACATTCATTCTACAAGAAAGGGAAGAGTGATGAGGCGGAGAAGGTATGGAACGAGATGGTGAACAGAGGGTGTGGTCCAGATGTTGGTGCATACAATGTGAAGATTATGAACATTCAGGGTGGTGATCCGGAGGGGGTGAAAGCCTTAATTGAGGAAATGAGCGATGCTGGATTAAAACCTGATACGATTAGCTACAATTACTTGATGACTTGTTATTGTAGGAATGAATTGATGGATGAGGCACAGAAGGTTTATGATGATCTGGAGAAAAACAGGTGCAATCCAAATGCTGCAACTTTTAAGACTTTAATCTTTTATTTGTGTAAGAAGGGAAGGTTTGAGACGGGTTATAAGGTGTTCAAGGAGAGTGTGAAAGTTCAAAAGATCCCAGATTTCAATACACTCAAGTATTTGGTGGAAGGGTTGGTGAAGAAATCAAAGTTGAAAGATGCAAAAGGGATGAGTAGGACTGTGAAGAAGAAGTTCCCTCCTAACTTGGTAAAAGATTGGACCAAGTTAGAGGAGGAGCTTGGTTTGGCTAAAGCTGAAGCCCCTGATAATAGAGTCCAATAAGACTAGTTTGACTTTATAGGTGGATGTTTTCGGACGATTTTGTTAGCTTGAAGTGTTTATACTCATTTCCATTACTTAGAGGACTTTTAGATCATTGAATTTCTCTTGTTTATCATAAAGATGTGAGTTCTAACTTGGGACCTCCCATTGTTTATGACCTTTATGAACTTAATATAGAGTTTTACTGAATGTCATGTTGATCCATTGCTTTGTTCTTCTCCCTCATGTTGAACATGTCGCCATATCACCGACATTGTAATCACAACATTAACTGGTGGTTTAGCATGAAACTATTTATCTTTAAATAGTTTAACCAGGCATGAAACATGTAATACACAAAAGAGATGGGGAATTTTCTGTTGGAAGAATGTACAAAAAGAGACCTGGCAACATACCCGGGGGGCATTTTTGGACCTTGGAAACAAATTTGGAAATCCAACACCCCAACCAAGATAAAGTGTTTCACACTGACTCAGGAGAGACTGAAAAAAAGAGGATTTCAGATTGTTTCTAGGTGCTTCTTTTGCCATGAGAAGGAGGAAACAAACAATCATTTGTTCCTTCACTGTAGAGTGACTTCCCAGATATGGTATATGTTTCAAAGCATTATTCAAGATCCTTGGGTGGTGCCTGAGCATACTGCTGACCTACTAAACTGTTGGATGAGAAGAGGGGGGAGTAAAACACAGAAAAAATGATGGAATCTAGTTCCATCTTGCATATGGTGGTCAATTTGGAAGGAAAAAAACAATAGGTGCTTTAAGAATATTACTAACTCAATGCAGAAAGTTAAAGAAAACTGCATTAATACTCTATTTTTTTGGTGTAAAGAAGAGGGTATATATGAAGTAGATCAGGTAGTAGATTTCCTAGGCTCTTTGTAATCATGACTACTTGGCCTTTGAATTTTATTTTTTATTTTTGTTTGGTTGCCAGCATACCCTCATTGCTGATGAATACAACTTTACCATTCTCAAAAAAAAAAAAACATGTAATACACAAAGCCACCTTCACTTACCACCATTATCACTCCATTCATTTCAACTTGTTTGCCTTAGTTACTAGAATATTTTCAAATAAGTTCTACTCTTTGATTTAATTTGGTCAATGCACAGCATCAATGTATTTCAGATTGATTTGGCCATGTTCGAACAGAAACTGAATTCCTGGCGAGTAATAAGTAGCACCAACAAATAAGGAGAGCTAGATGTAGTTCCACTGCATAAAAGTATATCATTTCCCAACCTAAGTTCATAAAACATGTAACAATATGCTCAAAAGAGAGGTGCTGTGTCATTTGTGAAGAGGCGTATTCAAATGTAAATGTGTGTCACAAAGCTGGCCATATGTTGCACCTGAAGTATAAATCTCGAGAGTCATATCATCAAGCTACAGTTCAACATGCAACCTACTATCAACACTTAATGTTGGAAACTTTGATTCTTCTGCCAAATTCACAGACGCAGAGATCTAGTAGACAAAAAGACAATCCACACATTAGTTACGGAATTCCAAAGAAATGAAAATTAATATGCAATTAACACAACTATAGTTAAAGCAGAAGTCTTAGTGTATGCAGATTCTACTTCATATTTATACAATTACATAGTGAATAGAAGATAAGCATATTACAAACACCACCAAGTCAAGTTAACCATATCAATACCATAAAAAGCTGATTTCAATCAAATGTAATGCTGGTATATTTATGAAATTACTTCTCGGGGCAGAACAAAGCATTAGGTGCAAATTGGTGGTATGATGCAAACTATGAGGTTTGTTTGCCTTCTAATTTCCCTACTTGATAATCAGTCAAACAAAGACAGACTACAACCTTGACAAGAGATGGACGGCTTAAGTGAAAACAACCATCAGGCGTCAAGGTTGGGAGTTGAGTCACCAAGGAAGCAAAGTTGGGATGCACCTCCGATGACTCTTGCAGAGAGGGTTGGTTAGGGTAAGAGGTGTAGGTTAACATATCCAAAAAAGAAGTTAATGGTCCATTAATTCCTTTACATTCATCCAAAGGAAAATCATGTGAGGGTTCCTGCAGAGCATTAACAAACTTGATGTGACTGTGGACATAAGCGCAATATTCTTCAAATGTAGCTGGTGATGAGTGATATCATTAATCTTACATCAAATCTTATACTTACTAACACAGTCAAAACAAATGAACTATTTTATTTATGCTGCAGCATACGTAAGGAGTCTAAGCAACAGATTAGATGGGGTAAGACAAATAAATTACTCTGTCGAGTTGCAAAAGGAAACAGAACTAAATTATTACCATCCGAAATACGTTGTAGTAATTTTAGAAAATAATTTTGTAGAGACTGGATGGCCAAGGAATTGTTGTACAGAAATATACTTTAGGCTATGCATTTTGGGGAAACTTTCAGTAGGATGGTAATTCCCCCTAAAGCGCACGTGGTTGATATAAAGAGACTTTTTATTTTAGTTTAATTCTAGGCTAGTTCGATTTAAGTGTATATCTAGTTCCACATTAAATTGATATTTGAAACTAAATCTTTTAAAGATCAGGCCACAACTTCAAGATGGGATTGCTAAGCCTGAAAGATTTTCAATTTTGTAACCAAAAAAACCATTTTAGCTAGAAAATGAAATATGACTGGGAAATAATCAAATTCAAGAAACTATTCATCTTCATTTGGTCTTAAGAATATCGTGCTTGAGAATTCAACTTGAAAGGAACCTAAACAGATTAAATCTGATCAATTCAAAATAAGAGAACAGAACCACATCCATTATTACTACACTGCACAGTGCACGAGTCAAAATTGAAACAGTATAATACCTTAAATCCTCCACTTGAAATTGGACTCTTACACCATTCCAGCCCCAAAACCTTGCTTGAACTTTGATATGAAGCCTTGACCACATTGTCCTCGTCCACCCGCTGTGACAAAGCAACATCCCACGAATTTTTGGCAAAATCATAGCTTGGCTCGAAGGTAGTCAAGCCTTTGTGCACATAACTATACCCTAACTTGCAGTTACCAGAATCAAACCCATAATTAGCTGATAACTTGTTAGATGAGTCAATCGCCAGTGTCCCATCCACTACAGTTCTGTTGTCTCCCCTCCAATGAGTATAGGTAAAGTTCAAAGGCTTCTCCATAACCCTCATATTATTCATAAATTGGAAACGCACATCCTATAGAAAATAGAACAAATCTCATCATCTTCTATTAATAAAATAGCACTCCTCACTTATCGAGATTCCAGACCAAGTATAATCTGACTAACATTTATATGTACGCTTTTTTTCCCCACAATTTTGATACAAGGAGAATCGCAACTTATCCTACTTTTCATTTTGTTTCCAAAGTATATCAATTTTAACTGAAAACTAGAAGGGAACTAGTGTAATGGACTTTAGATAAGCTAAAATTGATAAACAAATTGAAACTGAGAAATACCAAACCTGTTTGGGGACGTCAAAGTCGATAAGGAAAGAGCCAGGTTTTTCTAGGGAGAAAGAAAGACCTTCTAAGGAGGAGCCATTGACGAAGGTGGCCTCGGTCACGTTACCATTTAACTTAACGGCGCCGCCGTGAACAGTGACGGTGGTAACGGCCTCCCTTACGCCGCCTTCATAACGTCCTCTGATAGTAGTGCTTATCATCCTCCGACAACGAAAAGGGGAAACGAAAATAGCGAGGGTGAGAGCCGGGAGAGCGTTGATGCCCAGGGTATTGAGTGGATTTCAAAGTGGAGGGAAAGGCCAAAAGCACTTGTCAGTAGGTGGATTTTGTGCCGTGATTTTTTGCATTACTCCTTCTGCTATTTGGAAGTGATACATAAAATCACTATTAAAATTGTTTCAAATTTTAAAATAAATATCTTAATTTTGTGGGTATTTTATTACCCCACAAAAATATTATATACCTTTGTAAATACATCATTTTGATCCATTATCTCATCAATAAAACTGCCCGTGATTTTCACCCATTTTGACCCCTTTTAATTTTATTGCCACATTTATGGTCTCTCCTTCCTCAAGAGGTGAAGAACAAATACTGTCAAATAAGGGTATTGCTCCATTGATTGAGATTATCCAGCTTGGGTACTTCAAGATTTTAGGCAAAGGTGATTAACCTGCTGTTGTGAAGGCTAAGTTGATGTCGAAGAACGCAGAGAAGAAGATTAAAGAAAATGGTGGAGAAGTTGTTCTTACCGCTTCGATTTGAATTGTTTGTTACTTTTTATGTTAAAGTTACTGTTTCTGATTAATTAATGGAGATTTAAACTTGGTATTACTTGTTTGAAATTCTTTTGAGATGTTTCAATTTAATGAGTTATTCCTTGTTAAAGCATCTATTATAGATAGTATATTGTGATTCTATTTGTGAATAATGATTTTTCCCAAGTTTGTGTTAATGATATTTGCTCGAGCTAGTGTTTACGTGCTCTCCCATTAACTAAGTTCAACACATTTGAGGCAATTGTAGCCCAATTTGGAGAAGATGATGAATATAAATGATGAGGTGTTTAGGGCTTTGTCTGTGCTTTTCTTTTTTTAATTTTGTTGTCTTTGCGTTTTTCTGTTTTTTCTTTGTTTCATTTTAGACTTGGGCTCTGTTTCCAGTTGAAATAAAGTGGACCTTTGGTCCTGTTTTAACTAAAATAAAATAAAAATGATGAGGTAAATAATTAATAAAGAAAATAATTGAAATGTGGCACTTTTCAATTGGTTTTTTACAGCAAAAAAGTACCTTCACGCGCATCATGTGCGTGGTCACAAACATATTGAGAAAATGAGTCAAAATGGTCATTTTACAAAGATATTCAATATTTTTATGGGATAATAAGACGCCCGCAAAGTTAAGGTGTCTTTTTGAAAATTCGGGACAACTTTAGTGGTGACTTTATGTCTTTTCTCTAGCGTAAACTAATGCATACTATATCATATGGGTATTAAATTATTTAATCATAGTAAATTGAGTTGATTTGGCCTTAAACATGTCACTCAAGGTAAGCAGCTTTGGAATTTGTTTTCCCACTCACCTCGGGTGAGGCACTAGTAAAATGTCTTGAGGCTCTGCGGGTACAGTTTAGTTTTGAGAGGTTTATATTGCAAATGCTCGATA